TCTTCTTCTTCTTCTTCTTCTTCTTCTTCTTCTTCTTCTTCTTCTTCCTCCTCCTCCTCCTCCTCCTCCTCCTCCTCCTCCTCCTCCATCTGTTGTTGTGTTTGTTGATAGATAGCAAGCGCCATTTCTAAAAAGAGAAAAGCTTCTTTCACAGCATCCTTGCCTTCTTTTTTTATTTTTTCATATTCTTTTCTCAGTTCATCAACAGATAAAGCCATTATAAATATTTTCTTTTCTTTTTTTCCTCTTTCTTCTTAAAACAACCAAGATGTTTCAAGAATTAGAACAGTCCCAAAGTCCCAAAGTCATCAATCAGTCCAAGCCAAAACAAAGTTCTCGCTTTCTCTTCCCGGGGTAATATCAATTAAAAAAAAAGAAAAATTTGTTGATTCCATAGGGAAGGAGAGTAAACTTTCCTTTCAACACCTCAAAATTGCCGCTTATAATTCTCTTCTGGAAAGTATCATTCAAAAAGCCATAGTTTTCAGGATGTTAAATGTGTCTTAAAGTCCTGGGTCAGCCAAGAAAAACTTTCACTTCAAAAACTTTCTCCTCTTCCTCCTGCACATTCTTACCCAGCTGCTGGCTTCTTTGTGGCGGCCATTACAGACCGCCGCTGCACCGTCTTGAGAAAAGGGGGTTTTGCCGGCCGGGGAGGGGGTCTGCAACACCCCCAAACCCCTCTCCGGATCCCCCCTATCTTCAGCCACCCCTGCAGGGCAGCCTTAGCCTCCAAACCCATCCGGATCGGAGGCACCAAAACGGCTAGCGCCGCAGGGATCGCGCAGTATCGTGAATCCCTGCCGCTAGCAAAGCTGACAAACCGGAAGCCCCCTGGCCAGGTTTCTTATTGTCTTGGTTACTCCTCTTCTGGACCCACTCCAGTGAGTCAACTGTTCTTCCTAAGTTGCTGGACCCACAACTGGCCCTAATATTCTTGGGGCTGTTTAACAAATGCAGAACCAAAAGGACGAAGAACAACCATTTTTCTATTGCCCTTTCTCATACTTGCCCTGGGCAGATTACAAGGCTGGTGAAAAAGAAAAGATGGAAGTTGTGAGGAGAATATTGGTTTGGGACAAAGTTCCTTAAGTGTGCTGTGTTGGTGCTTTCCCTTCAGGTGACAACCAAGAGGAGGTAATAAGGAAAGCTGTCCTGAAATATGCTATATGTTTCCTACAATATCTTGGCAGACTTCAAATTCAATACAGCAATTGATCCATGTGTAACAATGTATTTGATATCCTTTGTTTCCCTTCTTCTTGCATATAACAATACTTTGTCTAACATTTTCTAGTGTAACTTGACTCTGCACATCACAGTAAACAGCAATTCAAAACATATTAATAAAATGCACCTTTAAACGAAATGTTCGTTTTTATTTGGGTTTGAATCTGGGGTGGTTTTAATACTCAAATATTGCACTTTTTTTAATGCTATGGTTTTAATTTCCATTTGAGGATTAAAAATGGAAAGTAGTATAGATCATATCACACTATAAATTTGTGTAAGGCTGCAAATACAACTTGTTTTCTGGCTTCTGTTACGGATTTTGATTTCAGCATTTTACTGGAATGTTTTACTGACTGACTTGCTATTTAGAGGTCACTAAAGGGTTTCTTGCCACTCCCAAATGGTTGGAATGCAATGCTGGTCTTTTAGAATTGCCCCCAGTCTGAGGGAAGAGTGCAGATTTTAAAGGTGTGGAGTCAAAGCTTTGCAATTTGTTCCTTGCAGTTTGTTCCTACAATTTGAATATTAGCATATGAAGTGGTTAGGTAAAACACAAACACACACTTGGTTTAACATTTCTAGGGACACTTTTGTCAGTATTTTTGTCATGTTTTCTTTAATTTTTACTTGTGGTGTCGATATATAATATTTTTTAAAAAAACACATTACATTAACCCTTTAAAATGGCATGTTTGTGGGCTCTAGGGGTGATAAAATTGTTTTATTTTTGTTTTATTTATTTCAAGTGTTTCTTAAAGGCTCCACAACTATTAGCTATAAGGCTATATGCAAAATAAATATGGTCTTTTAAATTTAAAATATAAAAATATAAAATGAAACATTGAAATAGATGCCACAATTTTTTTTAAAATACAGCAGAAATAAAGTTAAATAACATCATAGGACAGCAGCAGAAAAGAGAAATGACGGGAGAGGAAAGAGTTTTCAGAGGTGGGGGTGGATGAGTTTCCCCACTTGGGAAGGGATGGTCTCATTGAAGGTAATCTTCCACTCTTGCTCAACACAAGAGTCTGGGGCTCTAATCTGTCAATCATCTTCCTAGCCATTGAAGAATCTGCCATGTATGTCCCCATAGCAAGTAAGCCAAAGCAAAAGTGCCTGATGTAGTGGTGAAAGCACCAGACTAGAAAGTGAGAGATTATGAGTTCTAGTCCCTCTTTAGATGTGAAAGCCAGATGGGTAACTTTGGGCCAGTCTTTCTCACAACCCAATCTACCTCACAGGATTGTTGTGGTAGGGAAAATAGGAGGAGGAAGTACTAGGTTATTCAGTTATTTGTAAAAATAATAAAGGCAGGATACAAAAAAAAAAAAAGCCCACTTCCTTCTTCTGACCCTGTAGTCTCTATTCAGGGTAGAGTTATTGCTACTAGATGAAGATGAGATTTATTGGCCAGATGCCCTTCCTGACACCTACATGGGAGTTCGCAGCAGATATTTTTTTTATTCGCACCTTAGGAGAAAAACATCTGCTGCTACCTAGGATTGAACCCTCAACCTTTTGAGTTGGAGGCAAGAGTCTTCACCACTAGGTCTATAGAAGTAAATAGAATAAAATGTGCACAAATGTAAAATAGAATCCTTTTGCAGAAATGTGGGTACTTTGACCACTTGAAGGTAAACTTCTGTCCATCCTATTAATGTTGAAAGGGAAGAAGAAGCCGATAAGAATCAAATGATGTCTGGGGGTCCTTCTGAGGCTTTCTTGGGTTCTGCTTTTGTGTATTCAGTGTGAGCAGTGTTTGCTGATACAAATGACTGAGCTGTTTTCCTTCACAAGGAGAAATAATGAGCTTCTCTTTACCTTTTGTTCACCTCCAGCCTATTTTGCCATTCAGGTGATCGTCTTTCGGAGGAAGTTCAAAGTCTCTCCTCCCATCATTTCAGGCCCACCAGAATTTGAAAGGATCTTCAGAGCACAGTAAGTTAAATTCTGTTTTTTTTTTTTTTTAAAAAAAGAATGTGTTGCCTTTGAAATGCATTTAAGAAGAAACAATCGAAGTATTCCCTTTCAAGGTAAATGATGTTATGCAAAGTTCATAAAAGATGGAAAAACTCAAATAAGATGAAATGGGGAGAGGGAGAGAAGGAAGCATAGAACTAGATCTAGTTTATAGTAACATATTTGCTACAGCTTTTCATGGTTTTCTGACTTGGTGACTTCATGCTTTTTGTTCTTTAAAAGTACTTTTTTTTCTCTTTTTTTTAGGATTTCATCCACTCCATCCAACTGTGACTTTCTCAGCTTTCTTCCTCTCAATCATTTGACTCTCTCTTTATATATTTCCTCTGTGGTTTGATTTTCATTCGTTCTGTCTGTGTGGTAAAGCCACGTCAGATTTATTTTTTTATTACAAGGCCTTGCCACTACATTCAACTTCCTTTCACTTTTCTCATGAATTTATTTTCAGACCGCAGTTTTGAAATCAACTTTGGGCATTAAAATGTCACCCTTCTAATTCTAGACCAAGGGGAGGATTTTGACAAATATTGGTTATGTGGAGTAATTGGGAAGTCTGGGGGATGCCTCTGGCCTCTTTCACTATTTTGGTTTCCACAAATGTGTTCAAACTGTGTTAGAGTATTGCACATTCTAAGCAGAAAATGCCCGTAACAATTCTCTCTAATGACATAAGATGAAACACAATGTTCAGAAGTTTAGAAGAACAGAGTTTGAAGGGACCTTGGAAGTCTTCTAAACTCAAGCAGGAGACCTATTACCATTCCAGACAGGTAGCATTCCAGTCTCTTCTTAAATGCCTCCAGGGATGAAGCACCCACAACTTCTGAAGGCAAGCTGTTCCACTGGTTAATTGTCCTCACTGTTAAGAAGTTTCTTCTTAATTTCAGGTTGCTTCTCTCTTTGATTAGGTTCCACCCAATGTTTCTTGTCTTATCTTCTGGTGACTTTGGTGACTGCTATGATGTCACCCCAGTCCTTCTTTTCACTAGAAAATGTGCTCCTTCCTCACATTTTCGAGAGAACATAATTTCAGAAGCAAAGCTTTAGAGCCAGTCTAGTTGCTAAAGCATCAGGCTAGAAACCAGGAGGCTGTGAGTTCTAATCCTACCCTGGCAAGAAGTCTTGCAGGAGACTTTGGACTGGTCACTCTCAGCCCAACCTATCTCAAGGGATTTTTGTGGGGAAAAGAGGAGGAGGAGGAAGGAATCTTAGGTATCCTCGCTGCCTTAAGTTAATCATAAAAATAATAACAGTGGGATATAAATAAATAATTATTCAAGGCATGTTAAAGCTTGTCATGAGTGGCTAACGGTAGCTGTCCTGCCTAATTTCCGCATGGCTGTAACTGTGTTTGGTGAGAAAAGGTAAACACATAAAGGTTCTCATAACAAAAAGCTGTTTTGTGATAACTAACTGCAGTCTACACATTTCAGGCAAACATCCATCTCCTTTCCAAAGTACCAATGGGGGAGGCTGATTTGCACTGACCAAAGAGAGAGAGGAAATGAGAGCGTTGTTTTCAAGGCTGTGGCTTTTTTTCTTTTTCTTTTTGCTAAAATAACCTGCTTTCCATAGCTTGTTCAAAATATGGGATGTTCCAGATAACCTGCTCCAACATGGGGCAGCCTTCAAATTTCCTAGCCAGCATGACCTCTGCTGGGAATTCTGGGAGGTGATGCCCACACATCTGGAGGGTGGTCAGGGTGAGAAACACAGCTCCAGACCCATCAAGTCAAATAAAAGGGTCCAGTTCCTTGCATCTGTTCATAAACAGAAGCATTTGTTGTTTGCTATTGTGGGAAGAAAAATCCGGTCCAGTTCCAAACCGGGAGAAAGACACTAGATATAAAATCGAGGCTGGCTGGTTGGAAAGAAAGGCTTCCAGAAACTTCAGTGACAGCAGCATGTTTCTGGGGTGGCTCACAATGGCTGAGTGAGTGGATGGGTCTTTATAGGATTCTGGGGTTTTGTGACTGAGATGCTCTAACAGCTTTATACAGTATAGTGAGCCTTGTGTCTTTTACAAGCCTTTTGGCTGAAGGTGTTTTGTTTATGAATAGATTGGCCCAGTCTTTCTGAATAGATACAAAATCTGCATTCCTAAAGGCCAGCCTCTTCAACCTCTTACAAGCTGTTTTCCTATGGCAGGAAAACTGGGGCTGCTCTCTGCCTTTCTTAAGATTTTTCTCCGTTTCTCCTTTGGGGAAATATAATATTCTGCCTCTTTTAATATTCTCTCAAATACGAGGTGGGGGGGGGGCTTCCCACACTATTAGGGGAGGGGGGACTTCCCACACTAGCTTTAAAATCAATGGACTGAATTTTCAAACTACTATCTTCTGATTTTGGCTCTTCCAATGAGAGGTGCACTTACTAATCATCTGTTTGAATTATTGCCACAAGATATTTCTAAGATGACTGGCAGCTCCAAAATGTGATTTTGATTGGTTCAAACTGCTGCCAGAGGAAATATATATTCCATTTATACTGAGTGAACTGCACTGACTTCTTGCTGATTTCTTGACATCATTTAACTTGCTATTAATCCTTGCAGTTCATCCTCACTCACAGATCAGCTGATGAAGTTCTGTTTTCATCTTCCTGTTTTGTCATTTGGTTAGGGAGAGCTTTTTCTTGGAAATACTTACACTTTTCAAACTTACCCTCTAGGACAAGTTACTTAAAATTGTTTCACTTTTCTTTGAAGGGAGAAAATGATCAAAAGGTCAGATCAAGTCAGAAAATGAAACTCCTTCTTTTTTTTTTTTTTAAACAAGTTTTATTAATTTTTAAAACACACAAATTATCATTATTCATTACATGTTTAAACCTTTTTCCCTTGTAAATTTAACAAGTCAGATAAATTATGATTCTGTTTTAAACCATTTCCATATAATATACCAAAACCTCTTATTCAATTTCTCTTTACTTCTCTTTACTCTTATTCAATATCATTATTATTATTTCATCTGTTTCTTTCTGACTTAGTTACCATTATTCTCATTCTATATTTCTACAAGTTTTTACCAATTCTCCCCCCAAAAAAGACATATACACACAACACACAAAACATAAAAAAAATATCTTTTTGGAAAGTAACTTGGACCCAGGTGTCTCTCTCTTCATGGACTTCAATTATATTCATGCTCATCTTACATATCATTACTTATTTTATTTACCATTCTAAGCCTTCTATATTAACTTCTCCACATATTTCACACTTCTTAATTCTACCTTAATTAATCATCTTAGTTTAAATCATTATATTTGTATCTTTTGTCCATTTTTTATCATCCCTTTGTCTCATCCCTTATGAAAAAAAAAGAAAATCAGTTTCTCCTGAAATCATTAATCAGAGTATGATGCCTTTCTATCTCCCCCCTAAGTTAATCAAATTAATCTTTAAAATAATATCTAATACCCAATCAGATTTTGCTTGGTACATTCTATCTAACTAATACATCCAACACAATTAAGTACATAATTAGAGAATAAATCCAAATATTAAAAAGAAATACTATAATAAAAATTTTATAATAACATCAATACCATAATTTTATTAAACTCTTTAATTAAAACAATATTCTAAACCTCTCCTATTATTAAGTTTTAAAACCAATCATTTTTAAACATTTTAACATTTTAATCTCTTATCAACTCTTAAACCATTGCAATACTACCATCTCATCTTATGTACCTTGCAAAATCTTTTTTTTTTTAAAAAAAATTATACTTTATCCATTATCCATAAAAAATTCCTTTTTTCCATTTAATTTCAAAACGTTGTAGCTTTTCTCCACCTTTTCCCTTTCTTTCTTTTCCCAACAAACCTTTCTACCCCCCCTTCTTCTAGCCTCTGCCTTACCGGCTTCCCTTCTCTGTCGTATTTCTTTTCCCCTTTGTTTACAATCATCATATTGGTTTTGCACTTTATTTTTCCCTTTCTTAAATGTTTTTTTAGATCTTAAGTCCTTAAATCCTTTAGTTTTCTTCTTTTCTCTTCTTTTCTTTTCTTTCTCTCTTCCTTTTTTCTGGATCAAATTCTGAGATTCATTAAAGATGGCTCCTTCCTTTCTTTCTTGTTCCTCTGCTGTCTTCATCTGTTGTAATTTTTGTTGATAATTAGTAAGCGCCATTTCTAAGAAAAGGAAAGCTTCTTCCACACCATTTCTTAGTTCCTCAACAGAAAGAGCCATTATAAATCTTTTCTTTTCTTTTCTCCTTCTTTCTTCTTACAACAACCAGAATATTCAAAAGAAAATAAAAAAGATAGAACAGTCCCAAAGTTATCAATCAGTCCAAACCAAGGCAGAGTTCTCACTTTCTCCTTCTGGGGTGATATCAATCAAAGAGAAAGAAAGTCCATAATCTGTTTAAAGTCTTGTTACAATATATTCTAGTCTTCAAATCCTTAAGGCATCTGCTCCAACAAATCTTAGCATACAAATATTTTCTTTTTAATCCTCTCTCTTCCCACTCATCGCTTAAAACCAATTTCCACCTAAAAAATAGGTTTCTTAATATCCAGTTATTTATTCCGTAGGAAAAGAGGGAAAGCTATCCTTTCAGCACCTTCAAGCAGCCGCTTTTTTCCTCTTCTGGCAGGTATTATTCAGAAAGTCATACTTTTCAGGAATTTTATTAAATATGTCTTAGAGTCCTAGGAGCCAAGAAAAACTTTCTCCTCTCAATCACTTTCTCCACTTCCTCCTGCGCATTCTTACCCGGCTGCCAGCTTCTTTGTGGCGGCCATTACGGACCGCCGCTGCACCGTCCTGGGAAAAGGGGGTTCTGCCGGCCAGGGAGGGGGTCTGCAGCACCCCCAAACCCTTCTCCGGATCCCCCCTACCTTCAGCTGCCCCTGCAGGGCAGCCTAGCTCCGTACCCGGCTGGGTCGGAGCCCCAAAAACGGCTAGCGCGGCAGGGATCGCGCAGCTTCGCAAATCCCTGCCGCTCGCGAAGCCGACAAACCGGAAGCTCAGAAAATGAAACTCCTTCTATCTGATCTATTGCAGCTCAGGTAGTATTAAATAAGGTAGGTAGGAGGCCATACATGGAAGTGAGCAGTTCTGCTTCCTTTATGCCAATGTTGGAACAGAAACCAGCTTCCCTTATTCACCTACAAGATCCTCCATGCTAGACACCATGATCTTACAGACATATCACTCTCCCATATAGTGGTACCTTATCTACAATTGAAGACTCAATTTTGAGTGCCTTTGACATGCTTTGGCAATAAACTCTAGAATATGGGATTTTTAAAAAAAATAATAGAACCTCCTCCCCCACCATCCCCAACCTGCAACAGCTAGGGAATACCATCTTCAAATGGGCTACAAATGCTTACTTTGTTATCTTTCCATCAGCAGACAAAGCTCATTTGATTTTCCTTCACCTTTTAATTGCCTTGTATGCAGAGTATTTTATTCTTGTGATGCTTCCTTGTAACTATTTTTGTTGCCAAAAGAGACTCTGCTACAGAATGATAAAGATTAGAACCAATTACAAGCAATTCCTCTTCAAAACTTATCTTTTCTATAAAACCCCTGAGGCAAATCTACAGTTTCTATGTAATTATATCTCAATACTGTAAATCAGGGGTCCCCAACCCCCGGTCCGTGGACCGGTACCGGTCCGTGGAACATTTCCTACCGGGCTGCTGGTTTGCTGGGCGCCGCCATCTTGTTTGACGAGAAAGTGCTTCCGGGTGAGCTTTTCCGGTTGGAAAGCGGCGTTTGGGTCCTGAAGGAATCCTCGCGCCTTAGTTTCATCGAAGGGGGGGGGGGCTTTGAACGAAACTAAGGCGCGAGGATTCTTTCAGCACCCAAGGCAAGGCGAGCCGAGCGACCGTCCCGAAGCCGTCCCGAAGCGAAGCCCATCAACAAAGGTACAAAGGAGGAGTTGAAGGTGGCGGGGAGAAGCGGGGGATGGCTGGCTGGCCGGTCGCTCGGCTCGCCTTGCCTTGTCATGCGTGCTGATGCCGGTACCGGGCCGTGGATCATTTTGTGATGCCGGTACCGGTCCACGGCACAAAAAAGGTTGGGGGCCACTGCTGTAAATATCACATCTTCAGGTTTTTTTAACCTCCATTTCAGTCCCATTTTTTTCCTTGTCTCTATAATTTAGAATGTAAGCCCACTCTTAAAAGGAAAACCTTTTATTTCTATAATCAAAATGAATTTTCAATTGTTACCACCCACCGGGCATGCAATTCAGCAATAAGGATACAAGCATAGTGATTTTTTTTTTTTTAGACTGGAACAAAAAAAAATCCACTTTTCAGAAGTAGGGAAATAATGCATGGTTGCAAAAATATTGTGGCTGCAAAACTGCATAGAGGAAAGTGTGTACATGTGTTTGTCTATAGTGGTTTGAGATGAATTTGTGATTGGATGCAGAAATGGGCTAAAATGAACATAGAGGTCCAGAAAATGAGAATCGGAGCAAATCTGACAGATTTATTCAGTCCCAATTATTTTTCCCCATCAAGTGGCAATCTGATTGTTTTCTTCTTTGTTTTACCAGAGCAAACTGTTCAGAATATTTCCCAATATTTCTGTCCCTGTTATGGGTGGCTGGAATCTTTTCCCATCAAGGTAAGAAATAAAATCCTAATTCAGAATTACTCAACTGCAATGTCCTTTCTGCAAGTAAAACTATGGAATAATAAGTGAGAAGCTGGAGAACGTTTTAGAAGACCTCCACAGCTTTTTTTGTTTTTTATTGTTAATGTTTATCTAATGTAACTGCATTGTAAATAAAGAGTTAAGTATTAAACGCTGGTAGCTGGGTAGAGTTTTAATCAAGGCAGGCATCGCGCTTGCAGTGGTAGAGATGATGTGCCTTGGGTTTCCCTGGAGTATTTTCTGTATCTACTACTTTGCTATCACCTGCACAAAGGCTCCCACTTCTCTTGTTTGCCTCAAAATGCTGTGGGGCATCTATGGCAATCTGATGCTTTCCACTGTTCATCTAAAATGCACCACTTGTAAATGATGTAACAGGCCAATACACGTGATTAGAGTTAGTCCTCAACTTACGACCACAATTGAGACCAAAATTTGTTGCTGAGCAAGACATTTGTGAATTTTTTCCCCATTTTACAACCTTTCTTGCCACAGTTGTTAAGGGGATCAGAGAAGTTGTTAAGCTAGTAACATGGTTATTAAGTGAATCTGGATTCCCCATTGACTTTGTCTGTCAGAAGGTCACAAAATGGGACCGCATGATCCCAGGACATTGCAACCGTCATAAATGTGAGTCAGTTGCCAAGCACCTGAATTTTGATCATGTGACTATGGGGATGCTGCTATGGTTGTAAGTATGAAAAACAGTCATGTCACTTTTTTAGTACAATTGTAACTTTGAACAGTCACTAAATGAATTGTTGTAAGTTGAAAACTAATTGTATGTGTGAGATACTATTGCTATTGAAGTATGCAGTTATTGTGTCTTGCTATACTCCCAGATTTGTCAGAGGTTTCATGAGAAGTTTGGGTAAAACAGATCCCATTTGCATCAGGCTAGTGTAAGGAAGAACAAGCACTATAGTCTATAGGCTCAAGCTACATGGGAAGCCAAGAATTAATGCTATTGCTTCTTCCTAAAAATCTTTACAGTTGTGCTAATATTTAATGGGAGGATCTAGGGGTGAGATTCAAAGTTTTTAACAACCAGTTCTGTGGGCGTGACTTAGGTGGTGGGCGTGGCTTGGTGGTCATGTTATTGGCTGGGCGTGGCCAACTCAATATCACTCACATCGAGGCACGCATCTCCTCGCCTAGCCTCTCATGACTGTGGAGATGCTGCAACAGTCGTAAGTGTGAAAAATGGTCATGTCACTATTTCAGTGCCATTCTAACTTTGAATGGTCACTCCACACAAGCAAAGTACCAGCAAAGGAGGGGGGAAAAAACTCCAGAGAAGTTCCAGAGACAGGAAGTCTAGTCCTGCCAAGAATGTAATAAGGGTTAACGGAGAGGCACTTTCTGTAAGCAACAACAGAATGTTTCCTTCCTGCCTTCCTTACAGGATTAGCCCAGTTTCTTCTAACAACTGGTTCTCTGAACTAGAATGTTAACAACTGGTTCTAGCGAATAGGTGAGAACTGGTAGAATCCCACCCCTGGGAGGATCTAGATAATAGTACTTCTTTACATGATTTAATTCCCACAGACCTGGCTACATTAAGTCTGTCAAAGCAAGCAGCAAAGCAATAACATCTTTGGTGTTTTTCTTTCCAAATATGTTTATGATATTGGTTTTGTTAATGTTTCCCCCCCCCTAATTTTTCAGAAAGGTATACTTCCTAGAGTCACTTTGGTAATTGAGACAGTTTACAAAGAAATTAATTAAAAAATAAAGTTGATAAGAGAAATTGTGATTTAAGGTTTCTTTTATTAATTTGTCCTCAGTTGTCACAAAAGATCTTTTTTAGCAGTGACTTTTGCAGAATTTTACTGTATGTTTCATTGTTAAGGCAAGACCGGTGGGAGTCCCTTTAAACTGTGAAAGTGTCCGCCACCCCAAGTAGCTGGTGGATGAGTATCTAAGCAATTTTGTTTTTTGGCTGGGGAAAGACAAAACTATCCCCTTCACTGTGTGTGTGTGTATATTTAGTAGTGGTAGTTATGCCTCCCTTATCACTCCATCAATGCAAAAATGATTATGTATCCCAGCATCAGTCTGCAAAACTGATTTGCTGTATTTGTGTTCTGCCCTTGAGTTGCCTCAGGAAAAACTTTTTTTAAGAAAAAAAAAAAGCCCTTCCTTTGTTGTATTTCTTATTGAAATTAGTATTTGATAAACTTTCTAAGTACCTGATTACTGCTTTCTCTGTAGTTTTGGCTGCATTCTGTGGACTAATTTACCTGTATGCCCGCTATCAATACTTTAGAGGATATGCACATTCTGCTGAAAGAAGGTGAGGAATCCTTGTGTGAAATACCTCAAGTAGGTTGTCTTTCAGACGAGTAATTTTGTTGATGTTCAAACTAGATTTTGTAGCCTTGAGAGCAACACAGATCCATCTCTGCTTTAGGCTAAAGGCAGGTAACACAGTGTAAGATGTTTTCCAGTACAAAAACCATCCCTTGCATAAAACAAATTAGGTGGATTTCCCCCCCTCCCCTAACTTCCTGTCTCCTAATAGCCCCCAGGAATATATTAATTTTATATTTAACCCCATGAGCTCTCAAGGAGTATAGATTTGACAAAGATTAAGCACTTCGTTAATAATTAAGACAAAGAAAACACAGCATCTCGGAACATCTCTTTAATTGCACATCAATGGTGGGGAATTTGGCCCCTTTATGACTTGTGGACTTCAACTTCCTCAGGAATTCTGGGAGTTGAAGTCTACAAGTCATAAAAGGGCCATAATTTCCCACCCTTGTTCTATATCATTTCCCCCTTATAATGTTTTAAGAAAAGAAAAGAAACTGCCAGAAACTGCCTATCGTTCTGTGGTTAGTCCTAGAAGATAAGGTGCATTTCTATAATCTAGGTCACGGGTCGCCAACCTTTTGGACCTCAGGGTCCACCAAACTCTTAATTTTAAATCCCGCAGACCAGAGACCCTGGGAAAATAAAAAAAAAAGTCGTCAAGAAAATTCCCCACCCCGTGTTCCTACTGATCGATCGTTCTTTATTTGGGATCGCAGGATACTGTCTCCAGCTCTGTTCTCAGGGTGGGTGGGAGAGAGAGAGACTTTTGGCTTCATGCAAGGAAAGCAGCAGAAGTCTTTCTTTCTCTCCCTAAAAACTCCGCCAGAAATGAGTCTTTGCTGGTGCAGCCTCTTGGAGCAGGATGCCTTGCAGGGTTCCAAAGACTCATTTCTGGCGGAAAGACAGACTTTTGCTGCTTTCCTTGCATGCAGCCAAAAGAAGAAGAAAGAAGCAGAAAGAAGCAGTGGCCAGGCCAGGCACATGGGGAAAGTTTCCCCCTCCATCCTTTCCCCCCTCCCCTCACTACCTCGTGTTGTTTGCAATGCGATGCAAGCCTTGTGTTCCCACAGGCCATGTGGGCGGCACAGCCCTGTGTTCCGCGCAGCCTGGATGAATTGCTTTGGGAGGTGCTTTGGGGCTGACATTTGTCTGTGGGCCACCAACATTTTCTCATGGACCACCAGTGGTCCCCAGCCCACTGGTTGACGAGCACTGATCTAGGTAGAATATACCATGTCTGGTGAACTTGGAAAGACAAATGTTTGGACTTGAGAGGTTATTTTGGGAAAAACAATCAAAGCCGAGGATGTGGGTTCAGTTTGACTGTTACCATCCCACAACACTACTAGTTGCAAGTCAGTCAGTTGATTTTGCTAAATGGCATTTTTAAAATCTTTCCCCAGTAATGCAACTCATATCTGCAGGGTTTGTCTCAGTCTATTTACCAGGTTACTATGGAAGTTATTTGTGAGAACACTGGCATTACTGTGGCAAAAGCCAGCCTCAATTAATTCTAGCTGTTTTTTTTTTCTCTATTTGCACAGATTGGGCCCCATGTATTTCAGCGCTGCAGTTCTTTTCATTCTTATTGGCTTGTCCATGGTGGGATTACTCGTCCATTTTGTGCGATACTTCTGATTTCTCAACAGTGCTTTGAAATCCCTTTCAACTGACAAAATACTCAGTGATTTGCGCCTTAGTTGTCAACTTTCATTTCTCCTTTTTCCCCCTCAAATTAAAATAGTTTTGCACACCAGCCTTTTCAAGCTATAATTTTATAGAAATGTATTTTAGTTTTCTGTTAATGTTTCCCCATAGTGGTATTGTTATATCTATTTCCTGTGGTAAAAAAAAAAAGTTAAGCTGTAACAGATATACTTACAAGGTAAAATTCTGAATAATACATGATATACCATTAGGCTAGTCTGATGCTTTGAACAAGGAACGTGAGGTATCAAGGTTTGGATTTAGTGCTGTTGGAATCAAAGGCTTGTATTAAAGATGTTACGCTCACGTTATACTGGAAGACAACCAGAATTAAATTAGTCAAACTAATTTGAAATGATTGGTTAGGAACCATGGATGAAACTGAGGTTTCTTTTAAAGAACCCTTATTGGGCTTTTCTCAGAAAAGACACATCCAGTTGCAGGAATTGGGTTAGATATGAATAAGCTGATGAAAAGGTTTACTCTTTTATTGTAGTTTTCAATTATTAAGCTAATTTTGTCTTCATTATAATTCTAATTGTTTTCACCTCACAGGAGGTTGGTAGTTCAATCCTAGGTAGCGACAGATATTTCTCTCTGTGGGTGTAATGAGAAAATATCTGCTGTGAGCTCCGCATAGGCAGTGGGAAGGGCATCTGGCTCAGCTCCATTCAGTCGCCCCGACCCAACACGATGAAAGGGATTACGGGGTCATTAAAAGAAAAAGAAAATCTACTTGTCCTGATTTTATTCTTTTCTCTCTCATTTCCATATTGTTTGAAAAGAGTTAAAAGAGTACCTATATTTCCCAATCTTTTAACTATAGCTCCATCCCACATACTAGGGTGGATCCAATCTGGTGAAGGAAGAGTCAAGTCCTAGGCGACACTATTATGGAGTGACTTGGGGCTTCCTTATCCTCTTTACTACCATGCGAAGTTGGAAGAAGTCATGGAAGTTCACAATGTGGTGAATATACTGATGATCTCCACGTGTACATCTCCGTTTTGGGCAAATTGAAGAAGCAGAAGGTATCCTGTGCAGTGCCTGGAGGCTGTCAGGATTTGGATGCGGAGAAACGGGCTCACAATCCATCAAAACATCTGCTAATTTAGAAGCCAATATTTTCTATGTAACATTTTAAAGCTTATTGAAGTTAAACCACAGGGAGAACAGATGGGCAACTTGAGAATCCTGCTGAATTCATGTCTATGGTGATTCTCAGTCATCCAGGTCATGGTTGTCTCAAAGGTGCTTTTCAAAAGGCAACTAGACTGGTTTTGTTTTTTCCATGAAGATGCTTCACTTTTCATCCAAGAAGCTTCCTCAGTTCAGAACCAAAGTGAACTGAAGAACTGAGGAAACTTCTTAGATGAGAAGGGGAAAAAAACAAGTCCAGTTGCCTTTTGAAAAGCACCTTTGGGACTCCTGAAGATATAGTACCCTCTAGAGGAGCAGTTGGATGCCATGACTAAGAAAACCGTTGCTTAGCTTAAGCTAATGTGCCAGGTTAATGGAGGTCCCACTGGAAGATTGGCAAGGTAGAAATGAGTAGCAATGTGTGCCAAATTCTATATTTTTATGTAATAGCTGCACAGTGAGATGCATTTCAGTATTTGGCAGACTAGATCAGTTAACTTCAAACTTCAAAATACTGATAGAACTCTCTGTTCTTGGCTAGAATAGGTCTGGTTTAAAGTTCCACTCTACAAGGGCTTCTGATTGGTTTATATACAGTAGATCATAGGTAATAATCACACCTTTATACAGTATGTCTGCTCATCTCTGTCAAGAACAGTGTGGATTGTTGTATCTTATCTGATTGTCCACCTATCCTTACCAAGAACAAGGAGAAGTTTGTCTTTTATCTTCTCTTATCCTTGAAAGGCCACACTAAGGGAAAGGAGTGCCTTGTTTACATCAGGTGAATCTGGGAGTTAATGTACATTTGCTGACCTGGAGAAGTTTCCTGACTAACAGCAGAAATGCAAGATTTCTTTGTCTTATATATTAGTATTATGCTCTTTGTAAGTTGTATTTGATCGTTTCTTCCTTTGTTTTTCATATTGCCTTGAAATAAAACCTTGATTACCTATATTATGTCCTTATTTCCCTTGAATCCACAAGTAGATGCAGCTCAGAGTAGCCACCTTCCTGCAATAGGATGTATGGGTAACCCTTAGCAGTCAGGACTGGAATACCGATCACTGAGTGATGTGGTTGTGAAAGCAACAGCAATCCCAGTTACTGTCATAACCCAGAGACTATGTGGGTCATTAAGAGAGGATTCAACTGAAATCCTAGGAAAACAGTGCTGCAGGAGGGTTCTGCTGAACATGGGTGAGATGGCAGGCACTTTGGAACATGGGTGGGTGGGTGGGGGGATGCTGTGGAATAGAAGATTCCTGGGACCTCATCCTCTGCAGAAGGACTCGGGAGAAAAGGGGTAGGGTTGACTTTGGCCTTCCCTGCTGGTTTCTCCTTTGACTCTGCTTGTGGGAAGCTGTCAGGGAAGAATGCAAATGAAGATCATGTGGCTATAGCTCACTAGCAATATTGTAATCATAAATTGGGCACCTGAGTGCTCAGATTGTGATTATATAATTGGGGGGGACTTTGCAGTAGTCAGAACTCCCGATGACTAGACATAAATCCCCCTTGCTCAGCGCCATCATAATTAAACAGAACTGACATAATCCAAGGACCAACTTTAGTGAGGACAGCAAGTCATAGTCTGGTCATCTCTTGTTTAAATTACTGTAATTCACTCTATCCAGGGTTGCCCTTGGCTGCTGAGCAAACATCAGCAGGTCTAAACTACAGCAGCCCATATTTATATTGATCAGTCCTATTACTGATAAATCACACCACTGAGTATCTGCTATAAAGGATATAAGCATGCACAAGCCTCTGATTTATCAAATCACTACCTGCCATTTGTATGCTACCTGCCTCTGTTTATATTTTCCCTTTCATATCTATAGTTTTGAGGCCCAGAAGGCTTTTGGAAATAAAAGTGATGCTGGAAGATAACGGCGTATTTTAGGACATGCCAGTTTCCTATTTCTTTTAATTAAAATAATGTCTTGGAAATATAAAATGTCAACTGAAACAGAAAGACTAGTGAGTGGCCTAAAGATGCCTAAAAATATGCTGATATTCCTCCAGTGCTAAGTTGGTAATTGTACTTCTAGATCTTTTTGACAAATTGGAGAAATCGCTAGATTCAGACAAAGTTAAGTAAGAATTTTAAAAAATAGCAAACATGAAGTTGCAGTTCTTCTCACAAAATATGTTCCAGGTCTTTAAAATCTTACCGAAGAACTGAAAAATGACCAATATAAAAGATTTGATAAATTATAGGCCTGTTAGATTGCTTTGCTTAAATTGGTTGAAAAGAGTAACTTTAGTAACTTTCATGTCAGATAAATGTTCTGCAATTCAAGCAGAAAATTTTTCCCACTGCCCAATACAGTAGATGAGATGGGCATTCAGTTGGATCCAGCAAGGCTGCTAGTTATGTAAGATTATGCAAGTTCATGGCCTAGGAAAGATGAAGGTGAATTATAAATTATAAAAACATTTATTAGGGGAAAAAACACCTATCTTCTAGTTTATAATGGGTATTTTTAAGGAAGTAAAATGCCCAGTTTTGGTATGCTAATATTCTTCGTATTGCACAGACACTGGCATGCAGAGAAAATGGCTAAGTTTTGCTTTTAATAGAAGTTTTCCCCCTTGCAAAAATATCTCTTGGCTAGCTATACCTTCATGCAAAAAGACAAATCATTCACATACTTATAATATACCTGCAAAATATTTTCAGTTTGTCAGAGTTATCTGCTTAAGGAAAATGCAGTAAAACACTTTCTACAGTGTACCTTTATATATATATGTGTGTGTGTGTGTCTGTGAGTGTATGTGTATTTGCACACACACACACACACACTCTTGAAAAAAACCAAATGTATCCCATAATAAAAAAATACAGCACATGAAAGTAGTATAATGCATTCCAGTGTATAGTTAAAGACATCGGGTTTTTGCTTTAAACTCTAACCCCTATCCTTTGAGAATTGACCAAAAGTTTTCTTCTTTTTTAAAATTCACATCAACCAGTACATTACAGAGAGATGGATTTAAAGGGGTAAACTTTGTACTGATTCCCAAGGCATGAAGAGACTGGAGAGTTTAACATGATCTGTATTTATGAAAGAGGCAGGTTCAACCATGGGTGGCTCTTGCATGTTGTTGTTTTCTTTTTCTATCCCTGCCATTTGCCACCTCTGCAATTTTTGAGAAGGGTCCTCCTTTGCATTTTGTTTTCAGGTGTGGACACAGCAAAGGTTACTTGAAAAGTTGGAGGTCAAGTATTATTATATCTTGACTGTTTTCCATAAGTGCTCAACTGTCAAGTTTCCCTTTCGTTCGCTTCACATTCCATAAACCTGCACTTCTAAATGTACCTTTTAATGATACATTCTGGATTAAATGTTCAGGGAGGAAGAAAGAAATATAGGAACAATATGGTTCTTATTCAAGAGAACAAAAAACAAACCTTCTACACTGAAAGTTCATCCCTATGTTTCTATGTTTGTGTTCTAGCTGCAAAGGCAACTGACTGTAAGGTAAGCCAGCAATGGTGCTTCTTGTAATAGAGTCTCAGCACCTATGTGTGAAAAATTCTTCTCTTCCTCATTTAAGAATGGTAAGAAAACTCCAAGGTTCTCCCAAATTTCACCACAAGATTTTTCTTCCTGTTCTTGGGGCAGGAGGTGCTCTTTACGGATCTAGCTTCGCTTCATTAGTAGCCCACTCATTCTGATGCATCTTCACTGCCTTAGAAGAACAGAAGAGCTAGAAAGCCATTGGATATGTTACTCCCTGTATCTTCAAGATCAGTCTGCTTTTTTCAGGAATATCTGAAAGTACATGAATAACAAAAGAAAGCTGGTCAGAATTCAGCCAGTCAGCATTTGGGCTTATAAAGGATCTCTCTTACAAAAGAGTAAGTTGCATAACAAAACTACTGTCCAAACTACAAGTTATCTCTTTATGTATAATGTGAAAGGATGTCATTGTCTGACAGAGTTCCATGGTTACTGTAAACCCTAAAATAGATCCAAATACTGCTTGTTTACAGAACATGCTGAATCGTAAACTATGATTACAAGCCACAGTGGTTATGTTCATGTAACCACCCAAATGAAACACACAATGGCTTAATATGATGCCCTGGTTTACTTAACTTCTTAAAATATAGTGTGTTGCTGACTTTCCTATAGTTGTTGTTTAAGTTATAGGGGTGGCTCTTAAATTTTATTGTATTAAACTTTATGGTATCGTGACTATAACAACAAAACAATAATAGACTATCCAAAGCAACTTGGTAACCCCAAGTGTTATAATCTTATTACTGATATTATTAGATTCCCAATAGCTGTTGAAAGAATTAAATCTTCTCCAGCTGTGTGGGGTGGTTTTTTTTGCATGCATTCCAGATGCCAATTCCTATCACCCCAGTCAGCTGTCTGGATATAAGGGAATTGGAACATTGCTAGGAACAGCGGGAGGGGAAGCTGCTGTTGAAAGCCAAGTAGCCTCTGATAGCATGGCAGCTGATGAGGCTGCACCTAAGAAACGGTGCACTTCCACGGACCACAAACTACTAGATATAAATGCCACATGGAGTGAGCAACCAGATTTTTGTCCTTGAAGACAATATTTTTTCCCGCCATGTTCCTGATTGGCAATTTAATAAGAATCTTCAAAGGTCAAGAAATGAAGGCGGGGGATGTTCTTGTAGACTATAGTCATCATGACCCAATGGCTTCAGTGACTTCATTGGATGAAATGGATCTTAGGACACTCCTTCTAATCTCGAGCAACAATCTGGAGAGGTTTTCTTGGAAAGCAAAAGAACTTTCTAAAGCAGCAACTGGATTCTTTTTGCGGCAGGCGGTTAGCAGGTGTGTCAATTTCAGGAGCTTCCAAGGCCAGAGACGGGCAGGGGGAGGAAGACGGGAAAAGAACTACCAAACACTGGAGGAAAATGTGGCTGAGGTGCCAAGGCAAAGGGGACAAGAGGCTTCTCCTGGGACACTAGACATCTTGTTCTCCACAGAGGTAGGGACTTGGTGTGTTGTGGCTCCGAGAAGGGTCTGCCTACTACTCCTGCCACCCTATGCCTTCATATTGGTGAAAGTAGCTGCCCAGCAAGAAGTAGATCAGAAGTGATTGTGAATGTGAGCATGTTATTTCTACCGGCAGCTTTCCAAAGTAGTGACCTCAATATCATGCTCTCTTTCTGGCTCCAAAGAAGTGCCCCTTTCTCCTCCCGATCAACTCTATA